GTCGTCTTTTGGACAACTGTCAAGTCAGCAGTCTTCCCCATGATTGTGTAGCCTATAGAACTAGACTGAAAGACCATTTAAAGGCTTTTGCAGGTGGTTTGAGTTAATTAGCTGATTAGAGTGTGGCACCAGGGGCCATCAATTTTGAACCTTTTCACAATATTCTAATTTTCTGATATGATGAATTTGAGATTTTCATTTGTTGTCATTTGTAATCATCAAAATTAAACAAAATAAACATCTGAAATATATGAGTTTGTATGTAATGTATGAATATAATATACAAGTTTCACTTTTTAAATGGAATTACTGAAATCAATCTACTTTTTCATGATATTCTAATTTTATGACCAGCACCTGTAATGATTTTAAGCATTACAACAGAAACCTTACAATGGAAATTATATATAAGACATTTTAAGGAATTTGAAGCGGAAATGAATGGGTTAAACAAACTTACTTAATTTATGAAATTGCATCTTATTACTATCAATGATTATATTAGAAACATGAAAAATATAAATGTATAGAAGAAAAAAGCATAGTGCTGTTTATAATTTTTCGGCATGGAAATCGGCATGTTACAGTATTCTAAGTGGTGATGTCACAGCGTTGGTCGGTTCTGTAGTTAGTATTTGAATACATTGGTAATACCTTTCACATTTGTAATATAATCATGGATTGTAGTAAGACACAATGTTGTAAAGATTGACCATTTTGTTTCCACTTTAAGAACTCCTCTTCCAGAAAGGAAGCTGCCAGTTCTTGCTTTGTGGAAGCATCCCATCTTTTTTTCCCATCCCATTAAAAGCATCCTGAGGTTTTTCCATACAATAGGTTTTAGTAGAGGAAAGCTAACCACCGTAGAGGACAGCTGCCTCACGCTCTGTGATTCCCTTCATGTAGTGGAAGTTCACAGTGGCATGGAGCAAATAAACTCTGGGTCAGATATTTGCGTCGACCCCCCAGGCTGTTATTTCCACTGACTAGCCGGGAATGGCTGGGAATACATTGCAAACACTTAGGTGGATATGAAAGACATACAAGACGGGTCAGGGAAAAGTGTTTTATAAAGCAGATCTCTTCCACACACTTTAAACTCCTCTTGCAGCATAAAAACAAATTACAAACTAACATGCCAAAGTAAGTATGTAACCATATGACAGAAGGATAGTCCAACACACCCAGACTGCTTGCTTGATTTGATCTTTCCACTGTTCAATCACGTTGCATCTACAACTAAACATCTTTCAATGAAATAAGACATATTATCACAACATAACAAAAAAATTATAATAAACAGTTTTATATTCCTAAATAAATTTCTAAAATGTGTATCAGACATATCTATTTTTAAATCTTGGTGTACGGTAAATTCAGCTGTTTTACAAAGATTTCAGAAGTCTGCTGGGGAACAATTAGTACAACAAACAGCATCATGAAGACCAAGGGACACAGCAGACATGTCAGCGGTTAGTTAGGAAAAAGGTTCAAGTCAGGTTTAGGTAGTAAAACAAAATCCTAAGCTTGGAACATCCCAGAGTTCCACCATCCAACAAAGAAAATGTGAGACTCACTTTACACAGGCTGTGTTTTTGAAAGCAAATGCTTTTCCCTGAATCTAATAATCCTACTGTTAATTATCCACAGGTACAGGTAGGCTTATCAGGTTAGAAGGATAAATGGACTTAAATGTACCGCAAAAACAATCTAGAAATAAGTAAAAATTTCTTAAATTAAATGTACTTACTCTCAATTTGAGTAGGTAAATAAAATAGTTTGCCAATGGAATGACATTTTTCACTTTTAAAATAAGATAATTTGATGTTATTCACTTTAAATAAGACGATTCAATAGTTTTTTTCTTATTTCAAATGTAAATTGTCTTATTTCGTTTACAAAATGTCTCACTTACCCGCTCTATTCAAGGAAAAAATGCACTTAGTTTAAGAAAAAATAACCTTTTCATATTTTATTTTTTTTTGCAGTGTGTAGGGTCATCCTGTGATAGAACGTGTTGGGGCTTGCAAAAGATATAGCTCCAGGTACAGCGTTTCATATTGCAGTGGGATCCCGAACATACATCCGGCGCAACAGTAAAGATCTTTAAAACAAAGCATGTTTATGTGTCACCGTGGATGAATACTGACAACTGGCCTTAATAACAGAATTTCCCTGAAGGAGTAATCTCAAGGGATAAAAAAAAAAGTTGAGTCTAAGTCTAATACATGATGCTCTTTAAAGATTTTAATTTAAAGAAGTTAAAGCTATACATAGTTCTGCATCCCATTCATAATAATTCTAGAAAGTTTTGGCCTATTACATAGTATGTGGCACTGCTGTCAGAGAAATCTGTAAAACTGCAATTTATGAGGATGCTTCTGTGAAGCATTGTATAGAAGTCAAAGACATACAGAATAAATTCCATGTAGCGGTTTATAGACAACAGCATGTGCCTATTATTAGATCCTTCTGGGACAAAGAGTCCAAACTTTGCACCTTTCTTCAGATGTCCTTCCAGATGTTTGGATCCATTTGACTTACTGCATGTGGCTTTCAGCTGCTGAGGCACTATTCCAGTTCATCATACTCTGATGTGCTGATGGAGTTCATCGCAAGTGTGTGTAATGCTTGCAAGCTATGTAATAAAAAAAATTTTTACTCAGTGAACTTCTTTATACTCTATGTTGAAAACTATACAAGTAGCCTTTAATAAAACAGAAAGGAGAACAAATTAAACCGCAAAGCAGAACTGTGAAGAGTGCATATTTTGTGTCAATCCTCACTACGCTGTGCCACACACAATGCTGACCACAAGCATTCTGTTACTTTGCGTACAGTTTGGTCTAAGTATCCATGTATACCGCACAGAGGTATTCCCTGTGTGGCCTGACCACATGGTGAAGGTTTGAAGCGCCAAAGTAGAGCTCGCCTCCCAACAGTCTGCAGGCCGCAGGTAGTAAATGGTTTGCACCATGTGACCTGTTGAAGTCTAACAGCTGTTTTATACCTTAAACTTGAAGTATGACAAAATATTTCCACCTCCTGCAGCAAACAGAAGTCGTCTGAAAATAGAACAAAGCTTAAAGTCTTGGCAGCTTCTGTTGCTGCCACAACCTCTCTATACAGACCCAGCTAAGATGCCTGTTACGGGGCCCATGTGTTAGCATGCCATCATCTACCCATGATGGCTCCAAAACAGAACCTGCCTTGTCCCAATATGATCCCCCAACTTCACACCATGACATTTTCTTCCTTGTTTGTCCAACAGTCTGCAAAATATCCAGCTCACCAGTACTCTAAGCAAAAAATTAAAATACAGAGAAAGCTAAAGAAACCTTCTCTTTTAAGCAAAAAGTATGAGTCAAACATTGTCTGGTTCATAGGATTCCCCCCAGTGTGATTCAGTTACTGGCAGAATGGAATAAGTGATCCTACTTATCCAATAGATTCTTGAAGCTAAGAACCTAGATATTAAACAAGTTGTAATTTCTTCATGACAGAAAAGGGATGATTGTGTATTTATGTACAGTATATTTGCTTAAAACTTCAGGAAATACTGTTTACTATTTTGACTTTGATTATTCTTTACATCAAAGATATTAGTGCATTTTTTCATGGTACTTACTGTAGTTTTAAAATGATGTAACATTTTGCACATTAGTTTTTTAAACACTAATTACAACTGAGGACATCTCAAATGCATTCTATGTTAGGGCTGTGGGTTCCTGACTGGAGTGGCCATGATGGAAAAAAATTTTATGAGTCCCATTTGGGTATTTTCAAACCTAGTCCTTATGGGTCATATGTTGGTGGGGTCCAGATGGTGGGCCTACAGAAGCACGTGCGCTTGGGAGGCATAAAAAAATAGCACCATTATGTGTTTTTGGAGTTTTGTTAGTATATGTTTGTTTTTTCCACCATTTTTTAATGCACTTAGTTACTTTCTCTCTTCCCTTCTCCTTCATGTATGTCAAGTAGTATCACATCCTCTTCATCTACAATAGAAGCATTATTTAGGACTGTGGTAATGAGATGCAAAATGATAAGGACTTTGCACGTCATCAAATTAAATACCTGAATTCATTTTATGAATTTTTGATTTGGTAATAATAACAATAAATACGTTATGTGAAGCATAATTTTGAATCTATGCAATTTAAGGTGGACAAAAATTAAGAAAAGTTTCTTTACTAAGAACAGTTTCTTTACTCCAACCTGCATACATATTTTCCTTTTCCATCATCCTAACTCCTTCATGTTTACTCCAACGGCACACTAACACTCCTTTAAGCAGATGTGCCGACAAAGATGTAATTTCCAGCCATGACAGAGGTTTCCACTGTATAGCTGTTTAAGGAAACAGGAACAATTCTGCAGGGTATAAGATGATTTTCCACTGTGATCTCCCATGTGGGAGAGGTCATAGGTTCTGAAGCAAGGAAACTGGCAGGGTGCATGCAATAAAATAAAAACAATTTTTCAAAGAGGGGGAAACTTAAAAAAAATTGCATTTTTTTGCATCATTGATTTCTTCTCTTATGCTTTTTTATCACATCTTAAAAGCATTCAGATGAATACACATCGACATGTTTTCAGCAAATAATCCAATTATCCAAAACAAACTGGCACTATGCTTAAATATTATTGAAGCTTGTTGTAAATGATTAATTTTTAGTGATTAGCCCTTTTTTTGTGTTTAACCAGCCAAACCACAGCTCTATAAGCATCAGACCTGCAGAATCCATGCACAACATAACCTGCCCGAGAACATTAAAGTATAAACTATCTTGAAAAGAAATGTATCATGTCACAATCTAAAAAAAAAAAGAGAGCATAGTAAGGGTTACTTAATGGAACAACAGTTTGGCTTACAAAACAACAAAAAAAAATGAATCAAAGTCTTGATTCATATGTTTATGAAGCTTTGATTTTACTAAACCATTGCCTGGAAACTCTCCAATCTGTCTAAATAAAAGCCTTTATTAGCGTTACAGTGAAATTACACAAACACACAGGATCAGGTTCATTTGGCCAGCTCCCGACTATTAATACATTATTTTATATGTTAGAAACCTCTTCTGCTGATTATAACATTTTCAAAGAGTCTCACAACAAACCGTTACTTTCACCTCAATCTAAATCTGTGCGATCCTTTCAGCATTCCTTTCTCTCTGTCGTCATGGTAGCAGCAGGACAGCTCTGCTATATAAAGTCCTCCTCTTCTGCATCCTGAGCCACAGCGACAAAGGGTGTTTAAACCTCTGCTTTACTTGTAGAAGGACCGAAGATCAAACCCTGAGCCATCGGACTTGGTAGACTTTTTAACCTGCGTTTTTTTTCTTATTTGCTCTTCTCTGGAAGATGGAGAATCTCTCAGCTAAAGCTGTTTTATTTTTCTTTATGACTGCACAGGTCAGAACTAAAATTACTTTTAAAGTTAAACCTAATTTAGTCTAACTTATATTTAAGTAAAATATCAGCTTTTGTTAGCTTCCTGTTATTTGCAACTTATGATTTACAAGCTATCTAGAAAATGATAGCTCCATTAATCTATGTTCTGAGTTTCTAAATAAAGTATGTATAGTTTATTAATTAATTAGTCACTCAGTCCCACTATGGCTTGATTATCCAGTTTGATTTTGAAACCAAACTAAATCTTTCTACCTTCCAATCAGAGCTTTGCACCGACCTGGGCTCAGGTATGTCCTCGGAGATGCCACTGTCCAGAGGAGGTCCCTATGTGCCTCCCAGGGGTGTCCCTGGTGCTGGATGACTGCGCCTGCTGTCTAGTTTGTGCAGGTCAAAAGGGCCAAGCCTGCTCTGAGATGAAACCCTGCGACACTCGTAATGGACTACAGTGTGATTACTCCGTAGATGTTCACAAGAGGACTGGTATCTGTACAGGTAGAGTCCCTTGAAAACAATAGCCATTAGATATGCTGATCAATTGTTGTTTGTTTGTAAATCCATCACACATGCTCTCTCTGTTTTGTATCTTTCATCCAGTCAGTGTGGGTAATGTTTGTGTCCTGGAGGGTTTAGCCTATCAGCATGGCCAGATATTCTTCCCCAGCTGTAAATACCAGTGTGTGTGCCAGAATGGTCAGATAGCCTGTATCCCTCGCTGCAGCCTGGATGTCATGCTTCCTGGGCCTGACTGCCCAATGCCACGAAAGGTCCAGGTGCCTGGAGAATGCTGCGAGAAATGGGTGTGTGAACCCCAGACTAAAAACAGCGCACTGGGTGGCTTTGCCATGGCTGGTAAGTAAGTGCAGTACATTCAGATCTGAGATGTTATGTATGCCACAGAACAAAGAAGAAGATAAAAATAGGGGAAACAGTAAAGAAACAATAGGAATAATGGGAAGTTAATATTTTTGCAATGATAGAAGTAAATTTACAAGGTAGATCCACAACAATACAATCAAGCATCCCTTCGTCTAAGAAAGTAGGCCAGTTTAGCACAATCTAACATTTTATTTTTCTGTGATCCCTCAGCCTACCGTCAAGAGGAAGTTCGCAGCTTTGACGGCTGGGACCCAAGGATGAACTGCATCGAACAAACCACAGAGTGGGGGGCCTGCTCTAAAACATGTGGCATGGGGGTGTCCACCAGGGTTACAAACAAGAATGATCGCTGTGAGATGGTGAAACAGAGTCGGCTCTGTAAGATCAGACCCTGTGAGGACCTGCAAGGGCAGGCCACTCATGTTTCACTAACGGTAAGCTTAATTTAGTAATTTCTTTATTTGGCATGTAATCCCTGATATTTCAGAGAAATATATACTATGCAATAGAGCCTGTAATGGCAAGGAGGGCCAATTTTAAAATTTAGCGTTTAACAATTTAAGAATACAATGTAACTAATCCAAAAATGTAGATAGTGTAGCCTTCACCATTTATCCCTATTCTAAACTCAGTGCAATACTTCTGTAAAGCCAAAAGAGTCCCTGGTTTTATCTTGCTTTGTTTCTATCTATCTGTCTGTGTATCTGTCTGACTATCAATACATAGATACATGATGCATGCATGTTCATACATACATATATATGTGTATGGTTGAAAGTGACATTGGATGCAGGAAGAACTCAATCATTTGTAACATGGTGACTGAAAAATGAGGATATTACTTATCTCTTAATATACAAGTAAAAAAAAAAACAAAGAAAATAATTTTGAAGCGTAACTTTCATTTCAACCATGATGTTCTCAGTAACGCATACAGCACTTAAAATGGGCGGACATTAAGATTATATCATCTAATCAATTTTATATGTTGAAACTTCATCCATTAGTCAACTCCAGTGGGAGATGTGTCGACAATCAGAAACTGTCTCCTGGAGACTGCCCAATTAGCTGATAGCTGCAGAGGAACGCTGGATAAGAAAAATACCAGAGTCTTTTGAAATTAACTGAAATCTTGATAAAAAGAACATATCTTTTTACATAGCTACAATCCAACCTATAAACATCATAAAAATTCATAAATTGCATGAATTTATTAATAAATAAATTGGCATTAAATACATTTTAATAATTTTTACCAGAGTCCTCAACCATTGTTGGAATCACTGGACAATTCACCTTTGTCTGGCAATCATCATGGGATAGGGTGGGCCACTGAGGAAACGCTAATGCTCTGATCCAAAAAACAACACAATGTGAACTGCAGGGTTTGTCGCAGCACTTTGATGTAATTTGCCTATAAATCCAGGATTTGATGTTAATGTTAACCCATAAGGTTAGAATTTTATATAACTGGCTAAAAATAATATAAATATTTGTTTTGTAGCTCATGTTAGGACATAGGTAATGGTTTAACTGATCTCTATTTATTCACTGGACCGTCAAAATGTAAATAATATGTGCGCTACAGCAACAATGATAATTTTCTCATTTTCAGGGGGGCTTAAGACTTTTAAAATAAATATAAATTTGTCATTTTAACACACACTTGCTGTTTCATTATATCTGCAGATTACTGTAGATTTATGGTAAAAAATAGGCACATCACATTGCATATTCAGTATGAAATTTATAAATCATGTAATGTAACATTTTATATGAGTCCATCACAACTAAATTTGTGTGTTACTGGAGCATAATAATACTGTACTATACTAAGAATATTAAACACGCACACATACACACACCCCACCTAATGATGTGCCAAAAGTGCTAAATTGTGGATGTACATATGAAAATTGCTTGTTGTTGCAGTCAAATGCTCGGCATTTTTATGGCGTGACTCTGTGGGAATAGGGATGGCGGCAAGTGACTTCAGGTTTTCGGCCTATCGGATATCCAATAAATAGAGATCAGTGAATGGTTTGCTTTAAAGTAGCCTTTTGGCCCATGGCAGCATTTTAGCTTAACACTTATAACTTCCTTTATCATAGCACATCATTTTTGCTAATGTATTTGTGAAGTAAATATTGTTATTTGCAATTTATCGTGTTTTCCTCCCCTAGCAAAGAGGAAGCATATGCCAGAGAGTTGTAAGGAGTGAAAAAGCTGTTCATCTTTCCCATAATAACTGCACCAGCATCCTGTCCTACAAGCCTCGCTACTGCGGCTCTTGCACAGATGGCCGCTGTTGCACCCCGCACAGGACCAAGACTTCTCTAGTGGATTTGCAGTGTTCAGACGGTAAAACAATTCGCAAGCCAGTCATGGCGATCCTGACCTGTGTCTGCCACACCCATTGCCCCAGAGACAATGCTTCGTGGGAGCCATCACAGCTCCAACATGGTGGCGTGAGAGTATGAAGTGTCCAGATTGCAGTTCCAGACTCAAAACTATGTCAGACATACCTTTTTATCCAAAGTATGTGCCGCATGGAGTCCAGGTAATTAGTATAGAGTACATAGATTTAGGATGCGCATAATAAAAAAATAAATTATTACCAGGATATGAGAAAAAGCTTAAAGTCTTATGACTGCCGGACGAGTATGTTGCCCCTAGCCAACTTTAAAACAATTACATCTCTTACAAAATGTAGAATTTTTTTGCTGTTTTTATTTCTCTTTTAATGCACAGAACAACAGCACAATAATCAGTTGATAAGGGACAATTTTTATGACTGTAAAAAGTGACTAACAATAGCAAACTTAATTAATATACATTGCTTTTCCTGACATACCACTTTAAGCATTTTACCCTTATCCAGTGGCACTTACAAGGGGCCAGGGCATCTAAATACACTATATTGCCAAAAGTATTTGCTCACCTGCCTTGACTCACATATGAGCTTAAGTGACATCCCGTTCCTAATCCATAGGGTTCAATATGACGTCGGTCCACCCTTTGCAGCTAGAACAGCTTCAACTCTTCTGGGAAGGCTGTCCACAAGGTTTAGGAGTGTGTTTATGGGAATTTTTGACCATTCTTCCAGAAGCGCATTTGTGAGGTTGCACACTGATGTTGGACGAGAAGGCCTGGCTCTCAGTCTCCGCTCTAATTCATCCCAAAGGTGTTCTATCGGGTTGAGGTCAGGACTCTGTGCAGGCCAGTCAAGTTCGTCCACACCAGACTCTGTCATCCATGTCTTTATGGACCTTGCTTTGTGCACTGGTGCACAGTCATGTTGGAAGAGGAAGGGGCCAGCTCCAAACTGTTCCCACAAAGTTGGGAGCATGGAATTGTCCAAAATGTCTTGGGATGCTGAAGCATTCAGAGTTCCTTTCACTGGAACTAAGGGGCCAAGCCCAGCTCCTGAAAAACAACCCCACACCATAATCCCCCCTCCAACAAACTTTACACTTGGCACAATGCAGTCAGACAAGTACCGTTCTCCTGGCAACCGCCAAACCCAGACCCGTCCATCAGATTGCCAGATGGAGAAGCGCGATTCGTCACTCCAGAGAACGCGTCTCCACTGCTCTAGAGTCCAGTGGCGGCGTGCTTTACACCACCGCATCCGACGCTTTGCATTGCACTTGGTGATGTATGGCTTGGATGCAGCTGCTCGACCATGGAAACCCATTCCATGAAGCTCTCTGCGCACTGTTCTTGAGCTAATCTGAAGGCCACATGAAGTTTGGAGGTCTGTAGTGATTGACTCTGCAGAAAGTTGGCGACCTCTTCGCACTATGCGCGTCAGCATCCGCTGACCCCGCTCCGTCAGTTTACGTGGCCTACCACTTCGTGGCTGAGTTGCTGTCGTTCCCAAACACTTCCATTTTCTTATAATACAGCTGACAGTTGACTGTGGAATATTTAGGAGCGAGGAAATTTCACGACTGGATTTGTTGCACAGGTGGCATCCTATCACAGTTCCACGCTGGAATTCACTGAGCTCCTGAGAGCGACCCATTCTTTCACAAATGTTTGTAAAAACAGTCTGCATGCCTAGGTGCTTGAATTTATACACCTGTGGCCATGGAAGTGATTGGAACACCTGATTCCAATAATTTGGATGGGTGAGCAAATACTTTTGGCAATATAGTGTATATGGCAGAAGAAAATTAGAATCAAACTTCCATCCTGATTACTTTTAAACCATCACCTTTTGGATGCATTTTAGAGAAATGCACCACATCAAATGATTAAGATTAAACAATTCAGAAGAGAGATTGCTGGTGCCCTGGTGACTGGTGGTTTAACTGGGAGGGGCACTACAAATGAACATTTTGCTATCTCGGGCAGGTTCTGTCAAAAATGTTTTTTTTTTTTGTTTTTTTTTAACAGTGTCCTTTCTGGCAATGTGACAATAAGAATAATTGTGTTGATGCCAAAAAGATCCCAACAGATTTTACTTTCACAGGAGGAGCAGTACGGCTATCGCCATAGTGTTCTGTTTGATTTATGCATATAAATAGCTTTATTATAATTCATCCAGCGAGTGTTACAGATCATATGGACACTGCAATGTAAGTGGGAAAAGAAAGGAAAAACAGAAAAATAAGGAGAAAAGATGAAAGCAAGAGGAGATTAAAGGGAGATAATGATAAAAGATTTTCAGTGTGCTTCATCACCTGCAAAGAGATGTAAAAAAAAAAACAGCACAACCAACGGACATGGTACAAGACATACAATAAAGTAACACCTAGATACTATCGCTGAAGTATAAGTAGTGAAAAATGGTTTAAAAAAAAAGGGGGGGGGGCGGTCTCTGCCCAATTTATATTAATATAATGTTTAATTTACTATAATTTAATATTTGTTTAACTCTCCAGGAGAGAGATGTAATTTTAAATGTAACTGTGTTACATCCTGTGGACAAATTAGTTGGTCTGAACTACATTATTACTGAGTTCTATAAAAGCGCTTTAACTCTGTTCTCTTAAGAGCCTTAGTGATTCTCCAATACTTTTTCTAAAAATTGTGCTTTATAGCTGTTTGTAGATAGATGTTAATTTAAAACAACATCGGTTAAAGAGTTAAGGTAAAAAATAAAAAATAAAAAAAATAAAACTTTTACAGTATATGTTCTTCAGAGTAAAATAGCCACCAAAATACATTAGTTTTTATTTCTTATGCTTTTGTTCACATAGGTCAGACATTTGGAAAAACTGTGTACTTTGACATGATTCCAGTAAGGGCTCATCATATGGAAAAAGCACACTGTGGCGCCTTGTTTTTCACATCTCACTGTAATATTTGTTGTTGTAAAATAGATTTCTTTTTATTCATGTGTTTTATCTTACTCAAAAAATTCTTTATTTCATTAGATTTTTTATTCCCATTTGGTGTGGTTATTTGTTTTTACTAATTTGTACATACCATGTTTTCTTTGATGCATGTTTGACTGAGTGTATGAAATACACGGTGTTAAAAGTGTATGTTTTATGTGCAGTAACATTTTTTGTCTTAAATATAGTTAATTGCTCTTATTTTTGTGAAATTCTCCAAATTATTTTAAAAAATGAAATATCCAATTAGATATATAAGTGTTGGGAAATTCATTATTTATGCTTTCTAATAAAATTCTCAGACCAGCTGTAAATTCTGCTGAGACTGGCAAATAGGAACACAGGCACGCCCATGAAACATTTTTGAAATTCAGAAAATTCCTGAAAGAGAGGAAAGACTTAAGTTTTAAGAGAGAATAGAAAAGTTTTTAGAGAGAAATCTATTTTTGAGAGAAAATGTTTTCACTCAAATTGCAAAAAAATAATAATTTTGAGAGAGTTTTTGCACGTTGGAAATCATTTTTCAAATGTAAATGTATCTTTATTTGTTACATGAAACAGTACTTTCCCTCATAACCTTTTCTTCAGTCTCAAATAACATATTTTTTTGCAATCAGTGTGTTTTTCTTCTCTGCAAAGCGTAAATTTTACTTGTAAATTTATTTTCCAATATTTGGTTTTAATTTAATAAAAATACAAAAATAACTCCATATAGTAAAGCCATAATCTCCCATTACCATAGGACATCAGCAGAAATCAATAGTTAGAATAGGAATGGCTGACAAATGTCCCCCTCTAGTGGTATAGTGTACAGTGTAAAAATTATGCATTTACCTTTAAATATGAGCAGGAAAACACCAACCTCAGCATGTGAATTCACTAATTAATTCTAGCACATATTCTCTTACGTGACTTATATTATAAGCATTAATGTAATATCAATCATGATAATTCATTTATTAATCCAAACATATCACATTCACCCAGTAACAGCTTAAACTAGATAGACATAGTATTTAGTATGTTAAAAACCTTTAAATCTAGTTATGAAATGTGCAAACATATTTTTCCCAACCCAAAAAACTTTCAGTATACATTATAGTAGTACATACCACATGCTTTACTTCAAATGAGTATGCAGAAGGTTGCCTTATAGAAGATTCACATCTGTTTCAGTTTTAATTCAACCACAACAAAGGATAAACAAGGCTCCAATAGATAAATGGATCTATCCAATGAAAAAAAAAGCCTAAAAATTTTGATGCAGCTTGAACTCCACTTTTTAATCCCCGGATCCAGCCAAAAAGCTTAGGCTGAGTGGGTGCTAGCAAGCGCATTTTTTCTCTACTGTGATTGTTTGCTGGGCAGAGATAATGAGACTTTCTTTGCTTTTTTTTTAAGGTTGTGATGTCAGCTTTCACACGATGTTTCTTAAAATTATCTACAATCTCCTTGATTGTGATGTTAACACATAGTTTTAGTGTTTTGCTGAACCTTGTATTGCACAGAGGACACCGACACAGCAGCCCCCCCACTCCCCTCCAGTGCCTAGTCAGGCAGGCCTTGCAGAAGCTGTGTCCACATGGAGTAGAAACAGGCTCAGTGAAGACCTCCAGACAGATGGAGCAGCGTAACTGATCTTCAGTCAGGAAAACGCTGGAAGTGGCCATTATAAGTGAATGAATGATATAATATACCATCAGTTAATACACAAGATAAAATGCTTTACAACGTAAAGAACAGATAATGCATATTAAACAGGTTTGAAATAGCATAAGATATTTATAAAAACACATATGTCCTTGCGGCATCTTCAGTAAATCAGACCTTTTTTTAACTAAAAGTCAGAAAACCAAATATAAGGAGGACATAAGAGTGTAATTTTGATGTAAATAGGTTATGTTCCCAAACCCATATGCAAAAATATATGATTTTTGCTTCTGTCTTGATTGCTGCTAGTGGAGGAACAAAAACACTGATGGGCAGCAGATTATTGCAATGAAATGATTTTCAAGGAGCAAAAAGAAATGAAGTCCAGTTATGAGAAAATACAGAGCATTGAATCATGATAAACAAAGCAAAATAAATGTGCAGCGAACTATGGCAACGAGAGAGGCTAAATACTAAGAAGCAAAATTATATAGCAACCAGGTACTGTAGGTCAAAGCATTGGAATGGTAAACAGCTGAGACAAAGCAGGGAGGAGAGGAAAGCTAACGTGTTAATAAAAGAAAGACTGTAGCTGAGTTAAAGC